TCCTTTGTAAAATAGGTGGAAGTGTTTAGAATAATTAAGTCAAATATCTTTCAGCAACCTAATAAAAACGTTAGCGTAAAACTGAGCGCAGTGAGTCTGAGGAAAGCAACGATTGCAACCTATGTATACCTCGCATTTTCTGCTACTGGGACATATGCTACTCTTATGAATCTATCGCCTTCCTCTTTGAAAAATGCTGCTTGACATGGGATTAGGCCTCAAAAATACCATGAGTGTTCAAACCAGAACATGATATCAGTTCACAAAATCTCTAATCATTAGTTTCAGTTGTGTAGAGAGGTGTAAACTATCTGGTTTCGGTAGTGGAGAGAGGTTAAAATTCACCGACTTGAAATGCTGGGTGATATGGCCTTAAATAATAATAATAATAATAATAATAATAATAATAATAATAATTTGCTTTATTCAAAAACAGTACTTGTGATAAAGAATGGAATTCTCGGCATTTCACCACATACAGTATTGCATCCAGTTCGTACATTGTCAATAAATAAAATTCTACATAGATTATGGGTGATCTCCGTTAGTTTTGACAACAAAATATTGGCATGTCGGTAGCGAAGCCAAAATTGAGCAAAGTGTTTGAAGGTGTTAGAAAAGTAGATACTAGCATATTTGCTGGCATAAGCGGTAACAAAAAGGTCGAGATATACAGAGTGTGAAAGAACGAACAAGAATGTTTTAAGTAGAGTTTGTAAGGAAGAGAGAAGGAAAACAGCACATAACAGAAAAAAAGGGAGAGACAAAAGGAAAAGAAAGAAAGAAAGAAAACATTGAACGTATAAATGATATGAGTTGGCAAGACGAGATGCAATTGTTCTACTGACTATTTAATCAGTCATAAGTTTCACGCCTAATGCTATCTTTATCCCACAGAACACGAGCTAAGTAGGGTATGGTTGAGTTTTTGTACTTTCTAGTGCGAGTATATAGTTTTTAATATATAGACTTCTGGTTTTGCCTGATGAGATAGATACAAGGGGATAGTAGTGAATAAAGAGGGTAGTGACAGTTAGATAGAATGGATTTAGCCCATTTTTCATATGGGTCCATGTGCCTGTCTACCAGAATATTAACAAGCTGGTTAAGTGACACCCTGTGGCTTACCCTGCTGACAACCTGTAACATCCTGCGCAGTAAGGTATAGTCTTTCTTCAATGGCCCTGGAAAAACTAAGGGGAAACGACAGAGAATAATAGACAGGATGCAAGAGTTAACGGGTCGTAAGGGTAAGGGTTAGGTTACTCCAGAATGTCTTGACTTCTTGATGTAGGAGGTAAGACGGAATATTTTCTTAGAAATCATCAAGATATCAGACGATCAGGAAAGATCAGCAGATAGAATGACGCCAAGGTATTTGTTTTCCGACTTGTTTTTTATTGCAGTATCATCTATGTTGCACACCTCGTGAGTTCTAACCAGTTTGTTTAGTTCAGATTTATGCCTAAAGGTGAAATTGACTTTTTGACATCTAGATGGATTTAAGGTTAGACCGTTTTCCTTGGACCACTGGCTGATTTTTTGATAAAAAGCCATTTAGTTTGGAGCATTTACCAGTCCTTCTCACTAGTCTTTCAGATTTACTAGACCCTTATTATTCTACATTCGATTATACTTTCTCCCAAGTTTTTTTCTTTCCACAACTATTTATGCACTTTTTATGAAGTTCTACAATGAAAACGCAATTTATTTCACTCCTACTAGTCAATGGGCTGTATCTAGTTGCATAAGTTTTTATAATTTCAATGCCTGATAGCGTAAAAAGTAATTATCTATGTTTTTAAGAAGAGAAGTGAAATAAAACTAGATCTTTACTTCGTATTGACATCCGAATGGTATTCGACCGTAGTTCAAACAACAATAAGCTGTCTACTGTGCTTCATTTATACCATCAGGAGCCAGAGCTTGAATAATATAATATATATACTTCGAGCCCACGCCGGCGCACACCTGATATCTATGGTCGGCCTGCAAAATTTGGGCTACCGATATCCATACTGAAAATTCCATACTTATACCAAAAATACAGTGTGGAATCAAGCTGTAAATCAAAAATAAAAAAAAAATAAAAATAAAAAATAAATGTGCGTCGGTGGTATAGCGGTTAAGATGCTCGCCGACCATGCATATGGCCCGGGGTTCGACCCCCGACCGGCGCACTCCTTTACCTCACTGACCCAGAAATAATGCCGGTAAAGAGGAAAGGTTGGGCATGAGGCTAGCAACACCATCTTGTAAAAATTAAACACTGCTACAGAAACTTCAAGCCACTAGCTTGGAGCCCTATGTTCCACTGGGAACATGAAGGAAAAATTATTAAAAATTATTATTTTATTTAAATGTTCAGTTTACGTTTAATAGTTCGAATACCTATCGCCTATTTAGCGTAAACTATGCATTCAAAGTAAGTTCGTGCAGCCATTATCCATCCATTGACCTATTAAGACCTAACCACTTGGTAACTTACTCATCACCCCTTACTTATATATTTTCAATTCCTCTCTCGTTATGTCTTCATTAAAACCTATCTTATTTCCTTCCCTTACAATCTAGCATTACTTAATCAATTCATTTCTTTTTCTTAGTCTTTATCGACTATATAACTAGCTGAACTTTTGTTTGTTTAATCATGGTGTTTTTTATTATTCATATATATTACTAACTAATATAAGTAGTAATCTACAATCAAAGAGATGAAGTCACCATGGGGTCTCCTTTGGGACCGCTCTTAGCGGATGTCTTCATGGCAAGCTTAGAGAACGGTCCACTAAAGGAAACAATCGAGAGTTTGTTCATGTATAAAAGATATATAGATGATACCTTCATTGTATGTGAGGATAACTCTTCAACTGTCGAACTTCTTGGAATATTTAATGGTTCTCACCCATCTTTGCGTTTCACGATCGAAGAAGAGTCGAATTCCTCGTTTCACTTTCATGACGTTAAGCCAGATAGAAGAGAGAATGGCACGCTGTTAAGGTCGATTTAACGAAAGCTAACATTCACAGGATAGTACACTAACTTCAACAGTTGGGTACTTTTAGGGAGAAAGAGGAATCTTAATAATTCCTTATGCGCCAGAATTCGTAAAATCTGCTCTACAGAGACAATCGGTAGTGAACTAGATAACCTTCAATCAAATCTCCTTAACAATTGATATTCCACAAGGTTTATTGAATGTAACATCAAGAAAGAATCCGCCCTTAGACAAGTCACAGAACCAAAGAAAAAACTGTTTATGAGCCTTGCATACGCACTTTTCCTGCAGCTGACTTGCAACTAGTATGTACCAGCCGAAACATGATTAGACAATGCGTAAAGGATAGATTACCACTTTTGTCCACATCTATATGCATTTACTCTTTTACCTGCTCTTGTGGAGCTGATTATATTGGACGTTGTAAGCGTAATCTCCGAAAACGTGTTGTTGAACACTATCCGGTTTGCTTAATGAAAGGCGAACGTAGAACTGCGAAGACATCTATTTGTGATCACCTGTTAGAGTTTGGTCATTTAGCCTCACATGATTTTATCTTTCAAAGTTATCTACATGGCAAAATCGACTTGACTCAAAAGTTTACGTTTTCTTCACTTATGCATAGCCAAAGTTTTAGCTATACATGAACAGAAACCTAAATTATATGTTCAAAAACGTTTTGTCAAACCACTTTCTTTACCTTGGTCATAGTAACGTTCTTTCTAGTTTTTATTTTATTTTATCTTATCACTTGAATTCATTCCACTTCACTTCACATTATTATTCTTATAGTAATCGTACTCCTAATTTCTAAAATTTTTAGACAACACTTGACAATTAAAAAAAAATATTTTCAGTGACAATTCACTTATTAAACAATTTTTAATAATTTTGTATTATAAGTAGTACGAACAGCTAGTTACACTAATCTGTCGTTTTGTTCACTATTCAGATCTACAAATCTCAGTACCCCATCAATAGTGCATAGCGACTAATTAAATAAACATTAAGTAGCGCAGTTGTTTCAACTATTCAAATACTCATTGTACACATACAATACAATGACAATAATCCCAATTCTTCTTCAAATTCACCAAGTGTTGATTTGTAGGGATTTTAGACTAATTTCGAGTTAGCTATCATGATAACTCGATATCATTTAGAGAATCACTGAGCATCCCCAGTACGCGAGCATAACGTCACCTAGGGATCTAAATGAACATGTTATCCCACTGAGCCATATTGGGGTGGCAGACAGAATCGACTGGCCCACCCACCTATGCTAACTCTTACTATTCCACGGTATTTCACACAACTTCCAGGGAACATTCTCTGCAGGTTCGTGATGTGACAGCAGCTGAAATATCTATGAACTATGAACAAACAGGTTTCCAGTACTCCGTCCGCATTTTAAAATGCTTCTCTCAGTGACTTTGGATTGTAATGATACGCTAACTTCGTACAGTAGACAATTAATTTTATTTTGTAAATTTCTTTCCATCGTTAGCATTTATCAAGTTTTTTTTACTGTCAATAATTAAGGAAAATTTCTCTCTACTTATTCTGATTGGTTAAATAATTTGAATCTTTGACAACCAATCAAATGATTGGGATATTTCCCAATTTTTAAAATATCCCAAAATGAGAAATGGGCAAATCTTTCAGAGTATTTTGTAGAATATTTCTGGTTTGGTTTTGTATAAACTATGTCTAATGCTGATCTGATTTTTTCAATTGCTTTGCTTTGCTTATATAGACAGTACTAACAGTTGACAATCGGTTTCATCTGGCAAAATACAAAACTGTGAATTACGGATAACTATACTCACATATTTTCCCATTTCTATCTATCTTGAGTAAAAAAGAGCATAAGAAAAACCCAACAAACTGTAGAGTTTATTTATCTATCTATCAACTTTGGATAATTTCATAATTCTTAAGTATAATACTAAGTACTAATCAAGTATTTTAATCAAAGCTGGCCCCACCAAATTCAAATCAGATGAAGAAAAGAACAAGTGCTGAATATAGCGCTGGTAAGTTGTGTGCTAATACTGTTACTGGTATATAGATGTTTATGAGTCTTTTATATGCAATAAATGTTTTGTAACTTGAAACCGCACGTTGCGCAGTGTTATTTATTGTCGCAGTTATTATTATTATAAACTTTAATTCTTAGAAGAACATAGGGCTTCAGCTGTGCATCTCCATTGCCTTAGGTTTTCCGCCAACTTTTTCACCCTGCTCCAAGTCTGCCCACATGCTTTCATTTCCTCTTCACATGACTTCCTCCAAGTCATCCTTGCACTGACGACCAACTCACCGCTTCCCTTTCCGTCGGGTTCCACTCGAGCGATGGCTTGTCTAGTGATGCCACTTGATGGTTTCCTCAGAGTATGGCTAGCCAATCCATCTCCATTTCTTCTTGCCTATTTGTTGCACAATCGGCTTCTGGTTGGTTCGCTCCCAGAGATCCCATGCTGTTGCTGATCTTTTTTGGTCGGCTATCTGATCTTGATTAGTATTGGGCGAAAACAGCTGTCGATGAGGATTTGCAGTTTGTTCGAAGTGCGCCCTTCATGACGCGCTGTCTAAGTCTCTGATCCGTACCGTAGCACTGACTGACTTCATATTGGAGTTGAAAATCGGGTCTTTTTTTCATTTTCATGTCGGGTGCTGTTGACCTCTATTCACTTTTAAGAGTAATGAAAGCTTGCCTTTCTTTCCCGATCCTCGCTTTGATATCCTCATCAGTTCCGTCAGCCTGTAGTTGAAGCAATGCTTCCCAGGTATGTAGGTAAAGGAGGTTGTTTCTTTCAGGTTCCTACCATTTAAGCTGGCTGATTAATGTCTGTTGTTGTTGTTGTTGCTGTTGGTGTTGCCCAGAAATCTTCATCACTCACCTCTGTTTTCTCTATGTTCACGTGAAGTGGTATCCTATCTTTGATGCTTCTTCCTCTGTCAACTTGTTGCTTTCCGCTTGCATGTCTTCCAGTTAGTACATTACTTTTGGATATCTTTCATCTTTACTGAGTCTACCACAGACTGTACGAGAGGTAGATAAGCATCAACTGGGAGTCGAACCCAGAACTATGTACATGATTGGCGAGCATTCTACCATCGAACAAACAACTCATTATTTGTAGACATAGTAGACTGAATACATTTCTTCAGTGATATTTGATATTATTTTTGATTTTTCACCAGTATGATGTAAAAATGGTGTCACCTTAAAATTAATTTTTGCTTTTCAACCCTTAATCAACCCTCTCATAACGTATAAAAGTGACGGTGTTTTACCGACAAACATTCATGTTTCTCTTTTCATTGTTCCACTTGATTACATTTGTCTCTCTCTCTCTCTCTCAATTCCTAGACCTCCCCTTCCCCACCTCTCTCTCTCCCTCCCTTTCTCCTCAACTGTTGGTCAACTCAACTAACTAGACTAGACCAAGAGAAAATAAATAAAAATAGATGAAAAAAGAGAAGGACTAAAAGTTAAACAACAAAATTTCTCATTTTCTCTCTTCATTTCTTTAATAAAGCAAAGAGACACAAAGAAGCAGTGTGATGTAGGTCTGTTTATCGATCGAGAAATACACTGCCACTCAATAAATGGAATATGCACTGTAATATGCATGTATACCAATGTTATATAGATGGATAAATAGATAGTTAGATATATATATTATCGTGAGATAGATTTTACTCCCCGTGAAACTAACTAAACTTGTTTTATTCCTAACTGTGTTGAATATATTTTATTCTTTGAACTAATCAATAACTTGACTTACCTATGAGCTTACCTCGTAACTGGAAGGTATTGTTTTGAAATCCTGTTGGTAATGAGTACTGCTGAAGTGTCTCAAACTAGGCTGACGAAACAGCTGAAGTGATAGCTACTGCATAGGAACACTCTCACCCATTGAGGATGCAGATGGTGAACCTCAAAACGGACGAGAAGAGTGTCCTGAATTCAACTACTGACCGAAACCACCATCTTGACAATGAAGAGGAATTAATTCACGGAGTCCATATTCAATTCAGATTTATCAGCAGATAAACACAAACATGAATGAATAATTTCAAAAAAACCAAACCGATATTTGAACATTTAGAAAACAGAAAGATTGAGCGGGCGGAGAAATATTTACTTTTCAATTAAATCCTCATCTCACTCTGACTCTACTCTAATATACACGTATAGCATTTTTATTACAGTACACAACAGTTTACCAATCAAGTGGCACTGATGTCTTTGTTAACAATAATTAGTCAGTGTCAAAATTTCAATGGGGTGATAATTAACGAAGAAAATCAATATACACACAATTAAAAGGTAGAAATGGTTAGAATAAATTAATTCAATTTTACAAGGATAACACGTAATTAAAGATGAAGTGGTCAAAATAAATAAAACTAAAATAATTTGGACAATTATAAATTTGATAATTGTAAAGGTTTAGGGGGAGGGGGACAAAGTAGTCCTGTAGTAGTCATGTAACGATGGCCAAGGCAAGGCAAGCGGCTGTACAAATGTCTTCGGAACACACAGGTTTGGCTTTTTTCACAAGTAGATTCCTATTGCTTCGGCTGTCTGTAGAAGGCGAACTCGTAGAGCAAAATTAGGATTAGTAGGAATGCGATGGATAATTTTAAATGCTGTATTAACATCAACCTTATGCTCACTATCTACAAGGTGTGCAAAAATAGAGCTACGAATAGATCTTGTTTGTCCCTTGCTTCACCATGTTGGATGATGTTCGGAAATACGATAATGAACCAGCCTAATTGTACGCCCCCCGATGTAGCTGGCTCCGCAGCTGCAGTCAAACTGGTAGATAGATACATAGAAGAGGCAAATTTAGGTGGTTTATCAGAATGTAGAATATGGGTGGTTGTGAAGAGACAACGTATCTCTGCTGCCTAATAAGCTCTTTTAACTGCATTCTTCAGGGGGCTGTGTTATCACTGATGTCGCTGATGTTGTCACCGAGGAACTGCTGTTTTATAAAAAATGGTCTTTCTCGAAACTGTTGCCATACTCATTCTCCTAGGTTTTGAATTCATATTTTTCTCAATAAACTTATCTGGATAACCATTTTTCCTAAGTATGAGATGCACACTGGTGACTGGCCGTATTCAGGTAGGTAGTTAATTGGGGGTTTCTAGTGGGAAGCCGTGACCTGTAGAGTGTGGCAGGTCGGACGTGAGGAAAAGTAGTGGTGGAGGACATTGGCAGAAGTCAGAATTCATAGGTTGGCTATTGGATAGAACCCCAGTGGCTTAAGGGTCTACGAGCTTGCCTCGTAACCAAAAGGCCGTGGGTTTGAACCCAGTTGATGCACACCGACGAAGAGTCTCAGAAGAAGACGAAATAGCTGTTCAGTACTCACATGTTTTCCAGTGATTCTATAACCAAGGTCAACTCATGATGAAATCCTGTAACCAATCAGTCAAATCCCTACAAACCAATACTTGAAGAAAAAAATTATCTGTTGAAGTATTGGTAGAAAAGATACTTTCATAAGCTAGAAGAAAATTTCCCCAGTAAAATTTCTGAGCCATTTTCATCTTTCTGTCGCCTTAAATTATCTATCTGCTGTTTCACACTTCTTCTGAAAAGGAAACTTCTTATTTTCTAAAATACCGATCTACGGGGAATTATAATTAGATCAACCAATAACAGGTGGCAGACAACGCGGATTATTGTACACTTCTTTATCCACCATGTGTAGCCTTTTCCGTGTTGTAGTAGACTGATAACCTGCTGTGAGTGTTTCCTTGTTTCGTTAATTTGTTATTTTTTTTTTCATATATAGTTACCTCTAACATAACTAAAAAAAAATTTTTTTTGCAGTTATAGCCTACACTGTCTGGTTCTAACATGCTTTCTAAAGTGAACTAAATTGGTTTTTCCTTGAATGACAGGTATTCATACAGTGTTCAAATTTTTAGATATGTAATTTCTTTGATTTGACCGTGAGTTAGTGCATATAATGAAACTTCTAAAAAGATGAAATTACGGTTTTCGAAACAATTAGCGTGGTTCACTGATAGGCCTCTCAGAAAACAAGAGAGAGAGTTTTCTTGGGCACCAAATATTCAACAATCAGACTTATGGCGATTATAAATTTAAATACTGTTGTGAAGGTAGTTATATTCAAAGAACGGCTCAAAGGCAAGCCCACCACCACCTTCTTCAGCATTTTTCCAGATGGTTACTTCTAACATATTCAGGGGATAGGGAACATAAGATCCAGGAAAAATTCAGCTTGTATCATTCACTGCAAGGTTTCATCCCTTTAACTCCCTAGTTTGGCTAGTCTTTGATTGCTCAGTAAGGCTGAGAAGGCTACGATAGAAGTGTTTTAATCTAATCTGTGTGCACTAGAAGAATTCGTCCATCAACTCTGTCCTTCATGGGCTTCATCCACAAATTAGAATGGTCTCCTTTCCTGGTTACACCGGAAAACTGTTAATATTGCCTTCCTCGCCAGTTTTTGCAGAGTCCTAGGTCGCCCTTCTTTGGTGGTTTTACGATGTAACCTTTCCTCCAGTCAGTAGGCACCTTTCCCTCCTTCAGGACCTTTTGCAATAATGGAATCAGCATGTCTGCTATCGTCTCTGGGTCGGCTTTCAGTGCTTCAGGGGGTATTCCATCTGGTCCAGCTGCCTTTCCAGCTTTCAGAAGCTTGATTGCACTCAAGACTTGAGCTCTCGTTGGAGGATTGGTGTCAACTTGCAGTTGTGTGTGCGCTGTTGTTGGTATTTCTGGACGGGTTGCAGGTGTTGGTCGATTCAAGAGTCCTTTGAAGTGATCCGCCCATTGTTTAATCTGTTTTTCCTCCTTGGTAATTGGGTTCCCTTGGCCGTCTTTTATCGGTTTCGCTTGTGTTGATCACTTCCCGGATAGAGATTTGGTTATCTGATATAATGTCCTCAGATCCCTTTTGCCTGCTGGCTTCTCAGCTTCAATGATGAGGTTGTCTTAGAATCGTCTTTTATCCTTCCTAGCACTCTTCTTCACTTCTTT